CCACCCCCTGCCCACCCCTGTACCTGCACGTCGGCCGCGTCCCCCGGGCCCCCCCCCACCCGCTGGCTGGGGTTTCGCTTGAGGAACTGGAAGAGAAATAGGGATGGAAGAGAAATAGGGCTGGAGGGGGGAATGGGGGAGGTGTTTTGGTAGAATCTGCTTAAATAAAGGGTGGGAGGAGGCGAGGGGAGTTTGGGGGGGCACCTTCTTGAGGAGGTCGCGGGCGTCGGGGGTCAGGTAGGGCGGCAGCACCAGTTTGCCCTTGAGGATCTTGTCGATGGTCTTCTTGCGGTTCTCGGCGGTGAACGGGGGCTGAGAGAGGCACCACGTGGTGAGGGAAAGCCAGGGGGGCGAGGAAGGCACAGGGTCACCCAGGTGGGGACCCCCCACCCACCCTCAGGACCCCCCGTGCCACCTCTGGGACCCCTCACCCAATGACCCCCAGGGAGGAAGGAGCAGGAGTAGGACTTGCTGATCCTGTGAGTAGCAGGGGGCTCTGGCTCCTCCTGGCAGGGACCCCTCTCCAGGACCCCCACCCACCTTCAGGACCCCCCCCCTCCACCTGTCAGACCCCCCCAGGCCCCCGGGGAGGAAGGAGCAGGAGCGGGACTTGCCGATCCGGTGAGCATGTCGTACATCAGGGCTCCCAGGCTCCACCAGTCCACCGCCCGGTTGTGCCCGCTCCTCACCAGGATCTCGGGGGCCCTGCCAGGAGCGGGGGGGGGTCCCTGAGTGCGCAGGGGGCCACGGCAGACACCCCCCCGCGCCCCCCAAGTGCTGCATCCCCCTCACATGTACTCGATGGTGCCGCAGAAGGTGTGGGTGACGGCTCCGTCGTGGATCGACTCCTTGCACAGCCCGAAATCCGTGAGCTTGATGTGCCCTGAGGGAGATGGGGGGGGGGTCAGCACCATCCCTGGAGAACCCCCAAGCCCCCTAGACCCCTCCCCAAGCCCACCTTGGCTGTTGAGCATGATGTTCTCCGGCTTGAGATCCCGGTAGATGATCCCGTGGGAGTGCAGGTGACCCAGAGCCAGCGTGATCTCGCTCAGGTAGAAACTGGGGCGGGACGGGGGGGCCGAGAGCAGTGTTGGGGTGCCCACTCCCCTCTCCATGCCCACCACTACCACCCCCCCGTCCCTACCAGGCCGTGTCCTCCAGGAAGATTCCCTCTCGCTCCAGCTGCATGAAGAGCTCTCCACCTGCAAAGAGAGCCCGAGTTGGACCCCCTGAGCCATCCCTGGAAACCTTTTAGCCATCCCTGGGACCCCCTGAGCCATCCCTGGAAACCCTTTAGCCATCCCTGGGACCCCCTGAGCCATCCCTGGAAACCCTTTAGCCATCCCTGGGACCCCCCGAGCCATCCCTGGAAACCCTTTAGCCATCCCTGGGACCCCCTGAGCCATCCCTGGAAACCCTTTAGCCATCCCTGAGACCCCCTGAGCCATCCCTGGA